GTTTTCAGGGGTGGGTTTTTGGGGGTTACCTTGAAGAGGGGGTGCTGTGGGGGCAGGGGTTTTTTGGGGTGGGTTTTTTGGACTGGGTTTTTTCGGGGTGGGGTTTTTTGGGACAAGGATTTTTCAGGGTGGGTTTTTTGGGGTTTGGGTTTTCAGGGGTGGGTTTTTGGGGGTTACCTTGAAGAGGGGGTGCTGGGGGGGGCAGCTGCCACAGGGATTTTTGGGGTGGGGATTTTTGGGATGAGGGTTTTTCAGGGGTGGGTTTTTCAGGGTGGATTTTTTTCAGGGTGGGTTTTTTTGGGTGGGTTTTTTGGGGTGCAGGTTTTTTGGGGTGGGGGTTTTTCAGGTTGAGGTTTTTTGGGCTGGGGTTTTTCAGGGTGGATTTTTTTGGACTGGGGTTTTTCAGGTTGAGGTTTTTTGGGGTGGGTTTTTCGGGGTGTAGGTTTTCAGGGGTGGGTTTTTGGGGCCTAACTTGAAGAGGGGGTGCTGTGGGGGCAGGGTTTTTTTTGGGGTGGGTTTTTTTGGACTGGGGTTTTTCAGGTTGAGGTTTTTTGGGGTGGGTTTTTCGGGGTTTGGGTTTTCAGGGGTGGGTTTTTGGGGCCTACCTTGAAGAGGGGGTGCTGCGGGGGCAGCTGCCTGAGCGTGGCCAGGGCGAACACCTCAGGCAGGAGGTGCCCCCTGAGGAGGTGGGTGAGCCCCTCGTGCACGTGGAACTCGGCGCTTCTCACCCAGGCCTTGGCCAGGGCCCACACCCAGGGGGGGTCCCCGGGCAGGAAAATGGGGGCCTCGGGCCCGGGCTGCTGCGACAGCTGCGGGGGGACCCCAAAACTATCAGGGGGGGACCCCAAAACCCCAAGAGCTGAGACCCCCGTCCCCCTAAAACGCTTCAGAGTCTCCTAAATGCTCCTCCCCCCCAAGATTTTGGGGTCCCTCCCAAGCCCAGAAAATGGGGGACCCCAAAACTGGGGTGTCCCTGGGCTTGGGGGGACCCCAAAACACTCACGGGAGGACCCCAAAATGCTCCTGGGGGGACCCCAAACCTCAGAACCCTGAGAGCTGAGACCCCCTAAAAACGCTTCAGCCCCCCCTAAATGGGTCCCTCCTCAGAGGTTTTGGGGTCCCCACAAGCCCAGAAAATGGAGGACCCCAAAACTGGGCTTGGGGGGACCCCAAAACACTCAGGGGGGGACCCCAGAACGCTCCTGGGGGGACCCCAAACCTCAGAACCCCGAGAGCTGAGACCCCCTGAAAACACTTCAGATCCCCCTAAATGGGTCACCCAGGGGGTCCCCACAGAGATTTTGGGGTCCCCCCAAGCCCAGAAAATGGGGGACCCCAAAACTGGGCACAAAACACCCTAAAATAGGCAAGGGGGGACACCCCAAAACGCTCCTGGGGGGGCCCCAAACCCGGGGACACCAAACACCCCCCGGACAACTCGGTGCCCTCCAAAGGGGTCACTCGGATTTTGGGGTCTCCTCCCAGATTTTGGGGTCCCCCCGGGCAGGAAAATGGGGGCCTCGGGCCCGGGTTGCTGGGACAGCTACGGGGGGACCCCAAAACACTCAGTTTTAGGGTCTCCCCCAGTTCCAGAATCCTCTCAATGGGTTTTGGGGTCTTCCCCAGTTCTGGGGTCCCCCCAGTGGGTTTTGTGGTCTCCCCCAGTTTTGGGATCCCTCCCTCCTAGTTTTGGTGTCTCCCCCAGTTTTGGGATCCCTCCCTCCCAGTTTTGGGGTCCCCCCCGAGTTCCAGGGTCCCCCCAATGGGTTTTGGGGTCCCCCCCAGTTTTGGGATCCCTCCCTCCCAGTTTTGGGGTCTCCCCCAGTTCCAGGGTCCCCCCCCAAAGGTTTTGGAGTCTCCCTCACTTTTGGGATCCCTCCCTCCCAGTTTTGGGGTCTCCCCCACTTCCAGGGTCCCCCCCCTTGTTTCTGGGATCCCTCCCTTGTTTTTGGGGTCCCCCCGTGGGTTTTGGGGTCTCCCCCTTGTTTTTGGGGTCCCCCCAGTGCCAGGGTCTCTCCCTCCCACTTCTGGGGTCTCCTCCCATTCCAGGGTCCCTCTCAGTGGGTTTTGGGGTCACAACTGGATGGCGAGGGGTCTCATCTCCCCATGTCCGTCCCCCCCAAGGTTTTGGGGTCCCTCCCGTGGGTTTTGGGGTCCCCCCCTTGTTTTTGGGGTGGCACCTAGATAGCGAGGGGGTCTCATCTCCCCGTCCCCTCCCCAGTTTTGGGATCCCTCCCTTCCAGTTTTGGGGTCTCCCCCAGTGGGTTTTGGGGTCTCCCCAAGGTTTTGGGGTCCCCCCCTGTTTTTGGGGTCTCACCTGGATGGCGAGGGGTCTCATCTCCCCGTGTCCCCCCCCCCTTGTTTTTGGGGTCCCCCCGTGGGTTTTGGGGGGGTTTTGGGGTCCCACCTGGATGGCGAGGGGTCTCATCTCGCCGTCCTCCCTCTGGTGCAGGAGGCAAAGGGGGGC